GGTTGAGCCCTAACTTCTGGGGCTTGGTCAAGTCAAGCCTGAACGAGTGTCAGGAGGCCGATTCCTTTGTTTTTGTTGTTCATTGAAGACTTTTGGGTTTAAGATCAAAAGATGAGTTTGAGAACTGATTTCAGAATTTCATCTTTTCGGCTCTGTTGGGTTCAGGTCAGGTGACTGACTTGACCAGTCTAAACCCTGATGAAGTCCTTATTTTRTTGGCAGTGAGCTTTGGCTCATCGTCCTGCTGCAGGATAACATACCTCCTGATTAGTTCTCTGTAAAATGTTTCTGTACTCTTCAGAACTCATTCTGCTGCTGCCATCATCAGTTCCATCATCAATAAATATTAATGAGCCTGTTCCAGAAGCAGCCATGACATCACCTGCACCATGCTTCACAGGTGAGCTCGTGTGCTTCAGATCAGCAGCAGTTCCTTTCTTTCTCCACATGTTGGTCTTTCCATCACTTTGGTAATCTTATCTTATCTTTGACATGGTTCAGTAGTTTTGCTCACTTGAAAAATGGATGGGTTGAAACAAAGGGGGATATAATAGCAGGAAATAAAAGCTGAAACTCTGAACTCTTGTCTCATCTTTGGATCTTAAACCCAAATATCTTCAGTGCACAAAAGAAAAAGAATTTCTCTTGTTCCAATACTTTAGGAACTGTATGAACAGTAGGGATGTAACAATTAATCGAGAAGTGATTCATAATTGATTAACTGCTTAAAATGTGAATTGATTCATAAAAATGACTGAATAGATTTCATTCTTATTGCATCAGTGCCTAATTTAAAATAACTAAACAGTTTGCTCAGTCTAGTGCTGGGCAGTATGACCTAAATTTTACATCACAGTATTTTCAACATTTACACCGGTTTCACAGTATATCACGTATTTTTCTTTTCATTACAGCTCAGCTGATAATAAAATGTACAAAAACTGCTGGTTAACTTTTTTCTTTTACTGTCTGTGTCTCTGTTTCCCTCCTCTGAGTGTCTTTTCTCTGAGTTGTGGTTGGAGACTGTAATCAAGCATTTTGGTCCGGTCGTGAAGAAGGAAGGTTAAGAAAATATTTTTATCAGGTTTATTGTTTTATGTTAATTTCTAAAGATTATCAGCACGACTCACCTTAAACACCAGTCAACTCATCTCCACTACAAAACCTCTTCCCCCCGGCTTTTCACAATAGAAGCACGTTAAGTCTCCATGCGTCTCCATATTAACGTTGCATGTTTAATCTAACCGTGCACGTCACTGAAGAGGTGTTTACTACATTCAGCGATGGTGAAAACGGGATGTTTGTTTAACAACAGTCAATATAAGCAGCGGAATTGGCGCCCGCCGCTGCAACAAACTGCTCAACAATAACATTAGCATGCTAATGCACATAGCGGCGCTGCAAAGAAAAGTGTCCCCCGGGAAACAGTTCACTGGCGGCCGCGACGAAACGTTCCGCACGTGTTCAGGCTATTTAAACCGGTATGTCGGTATTCAGAAAATTCATATCATAACAAAAATAAAAAAACGGTATTAGGTACGAACCAGTATACCGCCCAGCACTAAAAAGTCCTACAGTTTCTGAAAGCTAATAAATTGCGCTTTTAGTCAATATATGAGTGTTATGGTTATGTCACACACACAGCTGCATGATGCCCACAAACAACCTTTGTCACCTTTCCCCACAGGTGCTCGGTGCAGAGTAATAGAACGGTACCAGCCACAGAGCATTTTTCTGAGCAAAGAGTAAATATGAAGAATAGGTCTACAAGAGTAATAAAAGCAGCACAGATGACTGAGACACAAAGASATGTTGAAGAACCAGCTTCATGTGAACAAAGGTAACATTAGCTGGATGAGATTTCTGGGTTGAATTTGTGATGAAATGAGCACTTCTTTCATCAGAATGAGTTTTTAGTTTTGATATGTTATTTTCTGTATAACTGGATGCTTGTCATATATGGTGACTTTTAGAGCAGACAGAAGACAACATGTGCAAATTTACAGTTTGTAGGTCAATCCTGTGTGTTTTTCACACAACAAATCACAGCGTGTTCCACTGACCAAGTTATGTTTGTACCGYAAATCATGCCTTGTTTCACTACATAGTGTGTGTGTGTGTGTTCTTGTTTTTCTACCTGGTGTGGACAATTTTTCAAGAAAATGCAGCCTCGTGGGGACCGGAWGCTTCTTGTGGGGACCAAAGCCCGGTCTCCATGTGTTTAGGACCAAGGTGTGATTTGAGTTTAGGTTAGTTTTAGGGTCAGGGTTAGACTATAAAATTTCCGAAAAATGAATGGAAGTCACTGTACGGTCCCCACAGGGATATACAAACCAGACCTGTGTGTGTGTGAGAGAGCAGAGAAAAACAATATCTGGCTGAGACTCCTCAGTTTTTTGAAGACAAATGAAACTTTTTAATGCCACTACAGGGTTGGGCAATWTTGGCAAAAAAAATTAATCAGGATTAATTCTGGTATTTAGCCGATAACGATCAATATGATGATTAATCCCCTGGAGTCCCTGGACACCCTGTCCTGGTCACATGGCCAGTTTAGTGGGAAAGATTTGCTCTTCATAAAAATCTGTTCTAAATTGTGTCAATTTTTCCAGCTTCAGGCTTTAAATCAAACTTTAAATTATGTTGATAGATAAATAAATTACAGAACCTTTTTTAATGTTCATCATAATTGAAGTGGAGAGGAGCAGCGAGCAGACTCTGCATGGAGGCATTAATCATTAAGTACCAAAAATAATCAATTGTTTTTCTGACGATGATACGATTATGCCCAACCCTATGCCACTGATGTTCAAATTTAATGCTTTTTATGTCATTTAAGGCCTTGATTTTAGATAAATCCATTTAAAAACTCTTCATGACCCTCAGAAACCCTTTTGGTGAAGAGTTTTTTTC